CACTTTCCCTAATTCAAATGACTGTATGACCTCCTCAGCAGCAGGACAAGAGAACTTGAGGAGCAGGGATAGAAACCACCAGCCTAGTGGATGGAGGGGAGCACTTGTGTCCTGGATAGGCAGCAAGTTTTAGCTTCTCTGGCTCCCTGAGCCATACCCTTATTCCCAGAATGCTCTCAGGGCGCTGCACAGCAGCAGATTTTAGAAAGCTTTTACCAAAGAAGTTATATATACTATATAATTGAACTCTATTAATCTCACACCGGAGAAATTCACATCTGGCCCATCCCCTTGGAGAGCAGTGGGCTGCCACTGTGTGGCGCCTGGGGAGCAGCGTGGGGTTAAGGGTCTTGCTCACAGAGTGCCGGCTGTGGGGGTTGAACCCGATACTTTCAACCTTCTCAGAGCACAAGTTCACTGCTCTAAGCACTAGGCCAACACTCCCCAATAGGATTAGCTTGCAAGCAAGCTATTGCTTTTTTATTTTGGGCTGCCGGCCCCGGTTTGGCGCCCGAGGAGGGTCTTTGCTCAGGGACCCTGAGAGGCAATCTGTGGGGCTCAAACTTTGAACCTCAGGATTCCAGGCTCTATGCTCTAACCACTAGGCCACCCTGCTGAGATGGCAAAAGTACTCACTTTCCGTACTTGAGTAAAAGTACAGATACTTTTGTTAAAAGATACTCTGGTAAAAGTGGAAGTACTGATTAAACTTCTTTACTCAAGTAAAAGTGACAAAGTACAGGCTTGTAAATTTACTTAAAGTATAAAAGTAAAAGTAGAAACCACTTTTTTCATGCCGTTGCCTACATTTTAAATGGATGTCTGCCAATAGGACTAGATCTCCGTTGTGTTCATTTTCAATCATCTCGTCGTCCATACTACTATGCTAACGCCACCGCCACCAAGCTGCAATGATTTGCTGCGAATGAATACCGCCGAATCTGTCGATTCATCTTGTAGTGGTGCGTCAAATGCAATGAAGATTCCCATCCAATTAGATTGAATTTGGTATTGATGACGTGAAAAATAATGACGGTAACTCCATTGAAATGATTCAAAACTAAAGTAACGAGCCAATTTTTTTAAAATGTAAGGAGTAGAAGTAAAAAGTCGCTATAAAAATAAGTAGTAAAGTAAAGTAAAAATATCAGGAAAATCTACTTGAGTACAGTAACGAAGTATTTGTACTTCGTTACTTCCCATCTCTGCCACCCTGTTATAATAATGTTTCTTTGAGAAATTGTTTTAGCTTTGAAACTCTCTCTTGGATGCCATTTAAGCCAATTTTGTCCACTTGTTTGTTGCTCTAAAAAAACAAAACAAAACAGCTCCTATTGTTAACTAATAAACTATCTCTTTAATTGCAGGTGAGACGATGGCTGCATCCAAATACGTCAAATTGCTCCCCTGTTCCTACAGCTTCTATGCCTTGAGGTCAACAGTAAGAACACTATCCACTGTAGGAAACAAGCTCTAGACTGCTTTGCTGAATTCAGACAGCCTTCGTCCTAACATACGTCAATACATGACTAAACTGTACATGGATGATGCTAGTAAAAATGGGAGAACAGCTTGAAGAAATACTGTATTTTTGTTTATTTTCACGATGTGGTCCATGCTTATCTGTCACGTAACACAAAGGATTGTTGGACTCCTTAAGCTCGTAAGCATCAGTGAGGGACCGCGCACACTCCCTATGGTGAAGACATTATCATAGAAAGGCACAGTCGAATTTTTCTACCTCCTCTCTTAGTGCCAGCACTTTTCAGACAGCATTTATCATGGAGATCCCTGTCACACTTGTACTTTGGTTTAAGAATCCTAAAGGTTGGATGAACTCAGCAGATGGCCGCTCACACTGAGCCTGGTTCTGCTGGAGGTTTCTTCCTGTTAAAAGGGAGTTTTTCCTCTCCACTGTCGCTACAAGCATGCTTAGTGTGAGGGATTGCATTCGAGTCAATGAGTCAATGCAATCAACTGGTTTTCCTTAGATAGAAAACTTTGTATCAATTTGACTGTATGATCTGGTTGAACTGTAAAGTGCCTTGAGATGATATGTGTTGTGAATTTGGCGCTATAGAAATAAACTGAATTGAATTGAACTCAGATGCAGTGGTTGAGGTGTTGGTGCCCCCTTGGAGTCACTTTGAACGGCTGGCCACATCTGTACCCAGTTGTCTTTATTTTGTGGATGACAAGAGTTTTGTTAACCACAGCCTGACATACAGTGACTTTATTTCTAATCTGTTCCTGAGCATGTTGTGTTGGTTGTTGAGACTTAAACGCGCTTCCTGTTGTCAGACAGGTCCTAAATATGTGATTTCTGGACTTTAAAGTTATCAGGTCTGACTTTTGATCAGGTCTGACATAATTATCCAATAACTGTTGTTAATCATAGTTAATCTATGCTGAAAGATCATAGATGATAACATTTCTTTACCGGTTTAGGTTAATTTAGATAGCTTTTCCCGCTTTAAAGTAAATAACATCCCCAGAACTTTGATTTTACTCTTAAATATCTTTGACATAAGAAAGCATGAAATAAGTAGGTGGGGGTGGGTTACTTGTTCTTTTTAAAGCTTTGTAAGAAATAAAGAATACCAAAAATGCAAGATGTAGATATGCAGAAATTCAGCTGTTCTAAAGATGAGTGTTGCAAGGAAATTCCACATTTCCCTGACCTTGTTTAGCGATTTGATTTGAAATCCTCTAATTGACAGGCTTTTTCCAACATTGTTTCATGCATATCATTAGGAAATCTGAGAGGAAATAAGGCACATTGTTGAACAACAAAAGCATCTGGAGTTGCAGAAAGAGTCCTCAGAGCGAGGAATGCTGTAACTGTGTCACAGCAGGCATGTTTACTGATGGAGCGTGGAAATGGATTCAGAGCAGAACAGCAGCGTGGAGCGAAGGTGAACAAGAGACAAGAGAAGGAGAACAGAATATGGAGCGCAGAGCACTTTATCAGCGATGACACTCACGTATGGACAGTGTTTGTCGAGTTGTGGTCCAGAACCGTGACTAATATTGGAGAACCACTCATCATGCCAGCCACCATTAAAAATCTGACGTGAAAAGACCCCTAAAGCACCTCTTAGGAAGGAACGCCTGTTGGAGACGAGTAAACTGAAAGCAGATGTGTTTGATGTTCTCTCCGCTGCAGTTTCTGACATTAAAAAAAGGTGATGCTAAAACACAAACAGGAACAGGAAATGCATTTCTTTCATTCACAAAGGGAAATCCAGCACGGTAGGGTGAAAGGTCAGCATTCGGTAAATAGGATCATAAGTGACCACTGCCCTAACTTCAATCAACAGAAAGCATCTCTCCGAGCAAACAGCCAACACCTCTTAGAGCAACAGAAGAAGCTGAGGCTGCCAGCGGGCTCTTAATTTCGGCCCACCATCGTTCCCCGGCCTCATTCCTTTCCCTAACCCTGGGGGACCGTGTTGTCATACTGCTGGATGAGGGCCCAGCCCAGCCGCGTGAGTCGGTTTAACTAAACAAAAACACTCCCACCCTGAGCTGAGGGCTCCGACCACAACAGGCCCCCACAAAAAGCAGCACTGCGCTGGGTCAACGTGCACTTTTCTGACATAGAAACAACCTTTCAGAGCTTTTTTTGTTCATAATTGTTGGGGTTTCATTAAAACTATAAAATGCAAAACAAAGTGTGGAATGATGAAGACAAGTAGAGCTGTCACCATCAGACACTAGGTGGTAATATTGTGCTGAGAATGATTCAAAGTATAACATGGGTTGTAGAAAAAAATCTAACACCTTTGTTGAAATTGTCCTTTTTAAAAGCTAGATAAGTAAGTTCAGAACCATTTCTTCCTTTCAGGGAAAAAATATAGTAAAAAAGTGTAATTATTTTTGACTGCCACCTTCCTCTGAGAACCCGTGTCAAACAGGAGTCACAGAGCCTCTTAAGGATGAACAGGGAAGGGCGTCCATATTTGATGGACGTTAAAATATTTCAGTCAGGACAGTTTCTTTACAGTTCAAATGTGCAGCTAACCATTTATGAAAAATTTAGAAATATATTGTCCTATTTGAGCTCTGGACAAACTTTAACAAAGCTTGGTACTTTTTTTTCCCAAAATCCTTGTTGATATGTATAGTAATATGTAAATAAAGATTAAATACAAATGGTAACGTATCTTTTTCTTTCAATCATGACTGAAAGACTGAGATCCAAGCTACAAGCGGCTTAAATTATCTTTCTGCACAGGCAGGCTGGGCTCTCCTTTAGAGGTAGAAGGAGGAGCTTGGTCAACTGGTAGAGGCTCAGAGTAGAGCCACTTACCTTCCACATAGAGAGGAAAGCGGAAGATTAGGAGTACGGATAATAAGTTAATGTGTAAACTATGCATGTCTGCTTCTGTTCCTAAGTATCCACTTGTGGGACAATAAAGAAGTGAATTAGATCTAAAGTGGATAACAGTAAACAGTTGAAGGAAAAAATAAAGGGTCCATGTTATGAAAATTGGAAAACTGCTCATGTAAGCTTCCCAGGGATCCATAGCAACTAGTTTCAATTTCCGTTTAGTATTGGCGGTGAAGTGGAACTCCTTTGTTCTTCATATGTCTGAGCTAAACAGCAAACAGAAACCTTCCGTTACACAGGAAAAGATTCCAGCCCAACAGACCTTCACAAAAGCACATCTAAAATCTTGCATGATGGGAAACGTAAAAACACAATAACCAAACTGAGGCATGGTGAGGGCAGCTTCATGCTGCGGGGCTGTTTTTCTCCAGCTAGAATCATTTAATGAAGGAGAAGCAAGTTATTTCCAGAGGGAAACTATCTTTCAGCGCTACGACAACCCAAGATGTGGATCTGAACCAATAAACAAATGGCTTTATGAGAAGATTTTGGAACGCCACAACTTGAAACCTGATCTGAGTGTCTTCCTAGGTAATCTATTTGAGAAAAAAAGCAGAGCACAGGACTTATCCTTGTAATATGATGAAGAATTTGAATAAATATTTGAAAATAGATTGTTGTTTTGATTTATATAAAGTGCATAATTAAAACCACAGCTTTGAAACAATAAAAAAATCAACCCTTCTTCATCTTGAAATCCAGAACAAATCTCTATTTGTTCTGTTATCTTTTTGTGTCCATTTTCCCTTTTTTGGATCAATAAAACATTTTTTTGCTGAACTGAATTGTCTGTTTTTAAAGTCAATATGTACTAAAAGTTTGTTTCAATCTAAAAAAATGCAAATGTATTAGTGTTCATTAAAAAAAGTCCCTGAGTTTATGCTGATTTCTTTCAAGGTTCCGTTTCTTTGGTCCATATTTCCCTTTCCTTCCTGCTTTGGACAGGGTTTTGGTCGGAGCGGATTCAGGAACTGAACACCCAGGAAAGAATGATCACACAGAGACTGGTACCACCCATTATTAGCCCAAAAACCACTAGAAATATAGCCTAGGGAGACAAAAACAAACCGCAGGTAAGCATAAAAGGCCTAAAGGTAACAAACATGTTATTTACTGTTCAGATTTACCCCGATGGAGTCGGCCGATCGGAGCGGCTGGCCGCTGATTTTAAGATAAAAGACGCCTGGAAAGACAAACAGCAGGCAGCTGGACATCGTTGATCCTGAGAGGAACAGAGAGAAAAAATTAACAGCATGAAGACAATGTGCAGCATATCTAACTGCTGCAGCTTTTTAGACTGTTCACAATGCAGCATTAATTATGCATAGAAAATGCAGTTTTAGAAGCAACAATCAATAACAGGGATATTGACAAAGTGGCTGCTGCTAGTCCATCTTCAAAACATAACTGTAGTTTCTTTTAATAAATTTTTAACTAATGGAATTCTAATGATCAAATAGTTGATCTCTTTCATATGTACTGTTTGAATAGAGAAAGATGCCAAACTTTCCAAAGGTTTCCTCTGGTTGTATGGTTTAAAATTTCAATTTAAGCAGAAAATCTGCAGCGAAGCGGAAAATTGCTTCAACAAAATACAAGACATAAAATAGGATGAAACTTTTACTGTTTGAGGCAAATTAGAATAACCAAAACTATTACTATTTTACTTAATGCCACTATTTTAAGAACGTATTTAATACTCTCCCTAAATTCAGAGGTTTCCTCAGACATTGAGTACTAGATTAGTTAGAAAAGCTTAGGTTATAATATCATGATGTTAAGCTCCTGCTTTAAAGTCAACATTCAATTTCCTTGTGTCACATTATGGAGAGAATCTACAAAATTCAACAGAGGGATCAAAAAGGAACTAAGGATACATGAAGGTGCCATGTTGATTTTATCTAATGTGCAAGAATAAACAGCACAGGAATGTCCATAATCTACAGTTTTACAAGGACACTGGCTGTGCATCTCAGAGATGAGCATGATTTGGTGCTGAGTCTTGATTCCTGCCCTGAACAAAAGATAAAAATAGTGTTTGACCATTTAATCGTTTGGAAGTGGCAGCATCATGCTGTGGGAGTGCTTTGCTGCTGGATGGACTCAAGAAGGACTCAAGTAATGGTTTTTGACTGGCCATCATAACGCCAGATCGCAGACCTATAAAGAATCTGAGACTGGAGCTTAATGAACGTGTGGGTGGAAACAAACCTGAGCCACCAACTCTGTCTGCAGGGGTGGGATAAAATAAAAAATAAAAACATTAAAATGTCCTCACTGGTTACATACCAACGACTCCAAACACATTCCTTATGTCAGGCACAAAGATGGCCAGCATCAGCACCACGCTCAGGATGATCAGAGCTGAGACTGTGTGGGTCAGCCAGGAGAAGTAGCGTCCTCCATACAACAGCACAATCACAGCCTTACGGGCCTGCAGCATTCATGGAAACAAAGGTTTCAAATTTAAAAGTGCTTGGTTGAGAAGATGTGCGAGGTATAGCACACTCACAGGGAAGTGTATGAGCGGCACTGTGAGTAGCACAGAGAGGAGGATGGCCAGCCGAACCGTCATCACCATGATGTCCCGGGGAAGGTACTCTCCGTAGCCGAGCAGCAGCTCTGACTCTACGTGAGCTAAAAGGAGAAGAAGAATGAAGAAGCACAGTCAGATCAGGACTTTGAACTGACAAAGTGCTTCATGGTGCAGGCTTACCATAGAAGGTGAGGTACCCAAACAAAGAGGAAATGAAGTAAAGCAGGAAGCTGAGACTGATGCTGATGTTTGCAACGTTTTGCATCCTGGCTTTGGTTGGTCTGAAAGAAAGCAGTCGCTCAGTGAGCATTATGGTCATGGTGATGGGGTTGAAGGACTTATCTGCAGGGCTGACCTCTCCAGTTCGCAGTAGATGGGCAGGATGGCCGTGTGGCACAGAAAGGAGAAGGCCATGGTGGGGATGGCATATGCACTCTGCAACAAACAGGCACAGTTCAGGCATCATCAACAATCAGCAGGTGGGACAATGCTGGACTTTCTGGGTAACTGGTCTGCTTGTGACCTTAAACCACAAGGCAGGTTCATTAATTTTTTTTATACCATGCAAAAGAAGCATTTGTATTCCCCCCTTCCTGTAATGTCCCCATATAAAGTTCAACCAATTTCAGGATATAACATACTTAGTATACAGTCAGCTTCTTTGTAATTAAATCTCGGTATAAATCCTGCTTTAATACTGAAGCATCAGAGGTTCCTTTGAGTACATTAGTCTACATAAAGACATGGTAGTACCCCTAAGGCAGGCAAGGCAAGGAGAGCATTAATCAAAAGAGTAAACAAGAAATCAATAGTAAATGTTGAGAAGCTGCAGGGATCCACAGCTCAGTAGAGACTGACACGGGAGTGGATTTTCACTCCTGTCCCGTCCCACTCCCACAGAAAAAAATGGTGTCCCGTCCCGATCCCGGGCCAGAGTAGAAATCTAAATCCTGTCCCGTCCCACTCCTGGTGAAATTACTCCCACTCCCATCCCGCTCCCATTCAGAATGACTCCCGCTCCTGCACCACTCCCATTCTTGTTGTTTTTGAGCGCGGGTGAAAAACTCAGAGCGGAAGTTACTATTGGTTTGCTCCCGCTCCCGTCTGCTCCCGTTAATGTTTAATCCTGTACCGTCCCAATCCCGTGATCGTTACTAATACTGACTCCCATCCCACGGGAATCCCACGGGAATCCCGTGACCCATGGGATTCCCGAAAAAATATCAGTCTCTACAGCTCAGGTAGGACAGAGGCCTTTATGAAAGCATCACTGAGAAACAGGCAAAATAACCCCAGATAAAGAACTTCGTTTTCATGTTTAAAATAACTCTTGGTTTGATAGAATATTAGATACTTGTTAACATTTAAGAAAATAATGACATATTTATGAAAAACAGCTTATTGTAAAAAACACTGAAACTGAACAGAGGAGCTGATCAGAGTCCGCAACAAGACGGATGGAGCTAAACCATCTGTTAGAGGCTGTAAAAACCGGGAAACCATGGCAAAGGTTCACTTTCCAGAAATACGTGGGTTTTGTTCAAAGCTACAATAGCCTAATCAAAGTCCAGATCAAACTCATCAAGTCCACCATAAACAAAAATATATAAACAACATTAAGTGAAAGGAATGTTGCAAGAAGTCTGTCAGGTCTGAACTGTTCTCACTACTTCAGGGACATACAAATACTGTTTCCATATCTTGTGCTGTAAAACGATTAAATTCCTTTTTATTCTTCTTACATTTGACCATCCATCCATCCATCCATTATCTGACACGCTTGCCCCATTTGGGGTCGTGAGGGGTACAGGTACCTATCTCCAGCTGTCTACGGGCGAGAGGCGGGGTACACCCTGGACAGGTCGCCAGTCCATCGCAGGGCAACACAGAGACAAACAGGACAAACAACCATTCATGCACACACTCACACCTAAGGAGCCAATTAACCTAACTTTCATGTTTGTGGATCGTGGAAGGAAGCCGGAGTACCCGGAGTGAACCTACGCATGCTCAGGGAGAACATGCAAACTCCATGTAGAAAGACCCCATAACCTTCTTGCTGCAAGGCAGCAGTGCTACCCACTGTGCCACTGAGCAGCCCATATTTGAAAATAATTAGTCGAAATAATTAACAAATAAAATTAAATATATGATTAATTTGTAAACAGATCCTGACTGCAGTTCCACAAGTGTTGCATTTGAACAGGTTTACCAACAGACGCTCGGCATCCAACCTAAAGAACCTTGAAGCAGTTAGAAGAGACGAATGGATGCAGATGTCCGTTTCCAGATGTGTGACGCTAGAAGAGCAAAGCCCTAAAGGACCTGCAGGGAAAGTTAAAGCTGGTTCCACAAAGCCTCGGCCCATAGGGGGGTGAAAACAAACGCTCAGCACACCTTACAGCTTTGTTTGTTAAACTCCTTGTATGCTTTTATTTTTTTAATGTATCGCAGAAAACCCTCCAACAAAAGCTGAAGTTTTCAATGTGGAAAAGTTAAAGGGGTCCGATCAATTTGCAAAGGCCTATGGCTGAGATGAACGTCAGCATGTGATATAAATGTGAGGGGAGCTGCTCTCCATCATTATGAACATCTGGCAATGCATTATTGGTGAGGGTGTGAACCGTTAAAGAGGACTGCATACCTGCTGTGAAGAGAGAAAGTCAAATTCATACGCACCTTAATGGAAAGGACGAAGAGTTGTGGTGTACACTCCGAGTTGGATACATTTGATGACTGAAAATAAAAGAAATAAAAACGTATTTAGACTTAAAATGTTTTTAGTCGTCTTGAACAAAAGCGACTCTTACTGTTTGCCTACACGCCTTTACAATTAGAAGTCATAAGTTAGCACATGCTCATTCTGGAGTTGTATCACGGTGTTGAATTTCTAAAAGTCAGAGTTCATTTCCAGGATCAGGAAAGGTCACCTGGACTTCCTTCCCTTAAGGACTGGCTTTATTCACCGTGCAGAACTCTGGGCAGACCTCTCTGGTACTCATCAACCAAATCTGACTCAATCAGTAAATCAACATCCTGAGGTTTCCTCCTAATCCTGTTGGCCATGACCGTCTCGACACAAACTACCAACCTCAGACCTTTGGTTCCTGAAGGCTAAAAGTACATTCATTTTTTTTTTTTTTTTTAGCAGCAGAACCTTTTCTGCTTTAACTGCTGAAGTAGTACAGAGGCAGCAGCAATTAAGAGCCAGAATGAGACATAAACTCCACTAATCAATGCTACAGGAAGACCTATTTGAAATGACACAGCTTAGGTGCTGTGTTTTCAGACCACAACTCCATTTACATAACTTTATTGAATGTGTTTCCGTAGTATGAAGATAGACACGGTGAAGGAAAACCTTTATAATTGGACAAAATGACAAGAAAAGCACCAGAATCATGCAGGTTTTATTATGTCTAGAGTGAGACAGGTGATGCAGTACAAATTGTATCACTAAAAAGTGGGTCATAGAGATTAAAGTGTTCACAAAAAGACATGAAATAATGCTGAATTTCCCTTTTCAGGGAATATTCAGTTTGGCAGCAAGGAGGGCAATGTTAAAATCCCCAAAAGATTGTAAAAGTTCATCAGGCCAAATTATATTTCCTGATCCAAAAAAAAAACAACAACAAAAAACTCTTTGAAGGGTAGATTTAAATAAAGAAGGAAATTGCAAAGCTAAAATTAGTTTTTATGTACTAGAACATGAAAGGAATTCATGACTTACATTTTTTTATGTTTATTTTCTTTCTTCTATTCAACTGATTTGTTGTATTTTTTATAGAAATACTTATATAGATAGGGGTAGGTGTTAGAAGTTTATCCATTCCCTGTTCCTTTTCATTTGTTTAATGCCAAATTGTAATGATACAATTGTATTGTTTTAAATATAATTGTGTAAAGAATAAAACAAATCAAACAGAAATTATTGCATGAGACACCAGCTGGAGGGTCATGAAATGGTTTTCATAATTAATCATAATTAATGTGGTTTATTGTGAAATACATAACTGTGATTAGCCCATGAAATAAATGTCCCATTAAAGACGTTATTGATCTAATACATGATTCAAATACTAAAATACCATTAAATTGTAAAATGCCCAACTAAAATAAAATTGTACTGTTAAATTATCAAAAATCTATCTAAATGATTACTTTAATAATTAAATGCCATTAAAAAATACATTGATCTAAAATGAATGACATTACTTCTGTTTATATGTATGAATAAATATAGAGTGATGTGATTATATGTATATTAGGAGAACACCAGTCTATAGCATTGTTATTCTGGGGTTGAAATGTTTGGAAAGAACTTGCTCTAGAGTCCGGCCACACCCTGATTTACCCTGCTGCATCAAACTCCTTACATAGCCCCTGGTAAGGTGAGGTACGGAAGAGGATTAGGGCCACTGAAAAAAAAAGTTAACTGATTTTTAAATTTTATTTCAGTTTAGTATGGGAAAAATGTCAGAATTCTGACTTTAATCTCAGAATTCTGACTTTTTTTCCTCAGAATTCTGACAGATAACAAAATGTTAGCATCAAGCCATAGCCATATCTGTTTTAGAGACTAGATCTCTTGTTTTAATGACCCTCTGCTCCTCTATTAATGAGGGGACCCCTCAGTCACATAAAAGTTGCCTAATTCCGTCATTTTCCACCAATGTGTTAGTGGCCCTCTCAAACAACTCACATCTTTGTCAGTGAAGCTGAGTGCTCCACATCTCTTCCTTCATGGTGCCCATCTACATTAAGATCCAAAATTCTGAGATCAAAGTCAGAATTCTGAGATTAAAGTCAGAATTCTGAGAAAAAAGTCAGAATTCTGAGAAAAAAGTCAGAATTCTGAGATTAAAGTCAGAATTCTGAGAAAAAAGTCAGAATTCTGAGAAAAAAGTCAGAATTCTGAGAACAAAGTCAGAATTCTGAGACTAAATTACTAAATACTAACGTTTTTTGAGCTACTCTGAAGACCACATGTAATCTGGAGGTTAGAAGCTGCTGATTCTGTTGAAAGTTGCTGACGTCTTTATGTCAGTCTACGCTCACCCCTCTCTGACCTACACCTGGTCCATAACTCTTCGGTTTAGTTGCCTCATCCCAAAAAGTTTCTACTTTGTTATAACGGCACTAACAGTCGACAGCTAAGTATTTAACAGCAAGAAAAGTTCACAACTATACTTATTGCACAAGTGGCACTCTGTACTGGTAGCAATATTCACTGAGCACCTAACAGGAACGTATTCTGGTTTAGACTAGCAGTTTTTAGGCCTGGATGATGAATGTTGTACTTCTAAAGCCAGAGGTGACAGAAACGTTGCGTTTAGGGCTGGGTATTTTGATTCGATTTCGATTCATAAAGTTCTAAATCGATTAATTTAGATTCGATCTGTTTTTACAATAATGAAAGAGGTTCAACTGTGTTTCAAAATACTCATGTATTTTACTTTTTCCTGTCATATTAAACACAAAGTGCAAACTTGTAAATCAGACAGTTTAAACTTGAGATGTGAACAAAACTGTCTCAAAAGTGCAAACTTGTTTGTGAAAAGTGAAAAAGTGAAGCCTCACTCGAGCGAGCTGACGTGACACAACAGATATTCATGAGCTGCATTATCTCCACTGTACAAACCATATTTGCACATTGTCTGTTACAACTACAGGGTGTTTGCTGGTCAGCCCCCATTTGTTAATGTATTCAATCAATCTATTGGCTATATTTGCAGCTGTCTGGCTTGAAGTCATCTTGAGAGCATCTTTCCTGCTCATTTGAATGTGAATGTCACACGCATCACTATAAAACGAACATATCTCATTTCCTAGACATCGATTTTGCAAATTTACATTCACCTTCTCGAGGTCTGGGAACGTTGTGACGTTGTGAGGCAAGGGACAAGGGATGGACCATTTCTTCACCACAACCTAGAAGTGGAGAAAGTTAGCTTAGGAGGACATACAGTCATCAGACATCTACAGGCTGAGGTCAGAGCTCACCACAACTGTAAAATACAGCATGAAGAGGAAGGCAAGGCTGCTGGTGTAACCCAGAAATCCTGTGGAGCATGGGAGAGAGAAAGATCCAGTAAGGTGGAGTGATTCAAACCAGTAAAGGCTAGAAAGAGGAAAAAACGTACCGATTTTGGGCAACATCGCTAAAGGCACAACAATACAAACTGTGACGATGATGAGGAGCAACCTGCCATCTTCATACCAGGCATTCCTGGAAAACACAAGGAGTCAAGTATTAAAAGTCAAGGCTGAACTGCAGCAGATCTTCTAAAATGTCACAGCGACAGCCGCAGACCAATCTGCCATGCTTTCAGACCAACCGCCTCTGGAAATTTGTCTCCATTTTGTGCTCAAATACAGAGCGACAGATTCGTCATGTGGAACGAATTAAAGGCTTTAGCTCTTCCAAATCATAACAACCTTGTAGTTCACATGGTAACGTTGTGCCGCTCCATCAGATGAGACCACAGCTCTCTTGCAGGTTTTTAGAGAGGGGAATAATATTTTCTTTTGCTAAAGGAGAGCCTTGGTGGTTTATACAGGACTGTGCAGGAGGAGGGGTGGGCTGTAGTGACACATGTGGAAGGCATGTTGGCTCCGCTGGGGTTGGGGCTGGATGGGAAGGGTCCTGGGTGTCGCTGCCGCAGCGCAGGGTCATAAGAAACTGGCTCTGCAGCTGTTTATTGGAGCTCCCAGTGTCAGAGGCACCTGTTTCGACCACATCAACACCCACTGGCCCCCGTTTGGCAGCTTCACAGCTGTGTCATTACCCTCTGTCCCGACTACACGCTTCCCATCCCACAACTGGATGTCTGCTGTGTCTCAACAATCTTCCATTGCTCAGTTAAGAAAAATATTTAGACATGTTTAAAAAAATTAAACGAGGATCTTCAGGAGGCTTTAAACTCAATATACAGAGATACAGGGTGAGATGTGGAGCATCTCCCACTCCGAAATGCCACAGCACTGGAGCGAACACAGAAAAACGCTGATTTATTTCCTGCTTAATCTAAAAGAATAATTTTCCTCATTAAGTAATCAATGTAAGTGTTCTTTCTTTTCAAATATTTTACATAATTAATTTCATGTCAACTAAATGAATTATACAGATTTAGACTTCAAAGCATGAAGTAAAGCTGTGAGAAGATTATGACATTCAATCAAATTAAAAATGTTTACATACTGATGGCTATTTTTGCTTTTAATTTACTGATTTCTTGAAACATAAATGATACAAATTTATATTCCTCTTCTCATTAAAAAAAAAATAAGTTAAATTTTCAAACTGTGAAAAAAAACTAACCCATCTTTTTTCTACCAGTCCAAATGACTTGAAGAACAAATGTTTTGCTCTCTACCAGACAGATTGAGATTTAGTTCCTCAAATTATTAATCTGGGATTACTCTCATAGAATGTGTTCAGTGGGTAAAGAGGGACATTCAGCAGAACCTTTCCAGCTGATTGGGTGAAGCAACATCTACAGTCCTTCCTACCAAAATTTGGTTTGAGCCAATCTTGGTAACAAGTTAATTACCAGCAGACATGAGGAACTACAACTCACGCTTTTAGGCTCTAGATTTTCCTCCTTTAAAGAAAGAATTGGAGATTGGAGATGTGTATTGTCTTCAGAATGGGAGCTCTGCAGCTCCTGCTTTCCTCACATCTATATGTCCTGCATTAAACCATCTTACTGCAACATGTTTGACCGAACCGTCTTTAGTCGCTTTCGAAAGGATTAAGTTGCATCAAGATAAGATGGATTCTCATGTGTTTGTGAACTCACAAATACAATGAGAAATCAATTTTGAATTTTCTCAGACTTTTTCTCAATTACTTAGAGTTGTTGCGATGTATTTTAGCATGTCGAGGTCTGCTTTCAGAGTGAATGTACTTAGGCCCCGTCCACACGAAGTCAAAACGAACACGAAACGCTGATATTTTCCAAAACGTTTGCCGTAAAGACGGAGACGTAAAATAAATGTGAGCGTCCACACGAATGCAGGAAAACGCTGCAAAATGTATGCCAGGCCTGTAAGTGGCGCTGTGGTGCCAAAGCAAAAATAGGCGACGAAATGTTGGACATGGCACTAATATTTATACATGGTTGCCTTGCGGGTCCATTTTCTTGGTTAAGTCAAATTCAGGTGCTGAACTATGTCATCGATATTGCTCTGTTCTTCCTGGAGATATTCCAGAAGAAGAAGATTCTGTTGTAAGCCCGACAGCAGGGTGAGTAGCATTAGCAGCAACGGCGCCATTGTTGTTGTGATGTGTCGCGCATGCGTGTTTAGAGGCGACGCTATGACGCATGCGTGTAAAAAAAAAATATGCGGTTAGAGCGTAAAGATGGAAATGCGAAAACGGCGTTTCGAAATCTTCCCACTCTGAAGGCTGAATAAAAAAAAGATCGTTTACAGACCCCCGAAACGCCGGCTTCGTGTGGATGAGAGGCTGGTTTGGTGAAAAATTTGTGCGTTTAGGCCAGGGTTCGTCTTCGTGTGGACGGGGCCTTAGACAGATAGAGCTGGATTAACAGATGGTTTCCACGCCCGACATGGTCTCATTATGTTTTTCCCTCTCACTTTAACAGTCAGGAGCACCAAACTAAACGTGACGTTTCCAAAGGGCAAACCTCAGTCAAGGTGTGAAGTATTAATGGGCCTCATGCAAGAAGCGTCCACATGAACAAATTCCTTGTAATGTAAATGCTGCATTTACATTTTTCTCCTATTTCTAATCTTCTCTCAGGTAAGAGTTTATTTTATAAGCGCTCCAAACTTGATGAAGAGGTCTTGCATAATCAGTCAGCTCTTATCCAGACCTAGTTTTTCACTAAATGACTACATTTGTTGTTACTTAGAAGCAATTGTCTATTTTATTAGGATACATCTTTATGTATTATGCAACTCTGCAGTTATAAATTACATTTCTATTCGCTGATGACAGAACTATCGGTCCAAGGGGACACTGGCTTAATATGTTGTTATTTCTATGTAGGATTAAGCTACTATTGAAGTAACATCTGGAACAGAAAATGAATAGAAAGTTCAGAGAGGATGTTAAGCAACATGTTGCTGCCTGAAAGTCTCCCAATGGTAAGACATGCATTCAGTTCACTTCATGGCACAAAATTGAAATGTTTGGGTCATCAAATTAAAGTTTGGCCTTTATTATTTTTATGATTGGATGGCAGAATTGGTCTGGAGATATACAGTATATGGTGTATTAAAAGGAGATTTTGCAGAATGTTGTGTTGTGTTTGCTTAACATGTTTATGGCACCTTGTTTGTAGATTTTTTCTGTTATTTTTCTCTATTTTCCTTTTACTTCTGTAGCAGTACAACCACATCATTCACAACCCTTTTGATTCATTTCACTGCTTGACTTTAACAGGTCCTTTAATTCTGCTACTCAGTTCTCAGGCAGAGCCTCCATCTCAAACTGGTAAAGTGTCACTTCTTTGTCTTTAATGCCATTTCTGTAAATGAATACCTTCTGATTGGGCTGGAAGTTGTAGCCTGATTTGCCATTATTGGGGTGGTAATTATGCATATTTACATTTCTCTGGCAAACACACTCACTCACTGTTAATTATTTAACAAGGCGGGCACTAGGTGGAGACATTAAACTCCCTCGACCCAGAACAAACTATCTAAAATCCACAGTATATTATAGAGCCATATGTCACTGGAACCAACTGACAATAACCACATAAACAGTCCAGAACAGAACAAGCTTCAAAAAGATACTGTCTTCAGAACTACTGCAGGTGATATGATGAACTGACCTGTGTATTTATGTTGTATATTTCTACTCTTTTTCATGTTCCTATTATTTCCTAATGTGCAACTTGTGCAATTTTTTTAATGGTTTTTTCATAATGTAATGTATTTTTTTATGTGAGGACCCCAGGAAGATTAGTGGCCATTTATTTGGCAGCTAATGTGGATCCTAATAAAACTAAACTAAACACGTTGACTGCATCATGTTTACAAGGATTATTTACTGAAGTTAAAAAAGGTAGTTATGGAAGAGTATTAGGGACACTGAAAAAATTGTAAAAAGTTAACTGATTTTTACATTTTATTTCAGTATAAAATGAGATAAAAAAAGTCTGAATTCTAACTTTAATCTCAGAATTCTGACTTTTTTCAAAAAAAAAGAAATGTTAGCATCAAGCTGTAGCCATGTCTGTTTTAGAGACTAAACTAGCTCTCTTCTCTTAATCGCCTTCTGCTCTTCCATTAATGAAATAGCATCGCCTAATTCCGTCATTTTCCACCATTGTGTCACTGGCCCTCTCAAACAACACACATCTTTGTCAGTGAAGCTGAGTGCTCCACATCTCTTCCTTTATGGTGCCCATCTACATTAAGATCTAAAATTCTGAGATTAAAGTCAGAATTCTATTTTTTTCCCATATCAAACTGAAATAATATTTAAAAATCAGTTAACTATTTTTTTTCAGTGGCCCTCATCCTCTTCTGTAGTTAGTAGAATCTGATGTGGCACGTTTGAAAAACAGAAAAATTTATGACAAGAATAAAAAGAACGTTGCTGCATGATGCCCATTGTTCTGATCAGGTGCTCCTGATGCGTAACACCTGTGTGTGAGTTTGACCATTTACAGTAGGATAAATGTCATCCTCACAAGATTTATTATTTTTTTGTTTATTTCTATAAAAATTTGTTTAAGAAGATACTTCAGTTTAAATTATTTGTTTATATTACGTTACATTCCTCTATAGCTTTATTGAAATTGATATTCAGTACTCACTTCTCTAATTTGTTAGGACTATACTTTTGGTATTCTGTAAGTGCCACCTCTTAAGTTGTTGATTACCTAATTTATGGTGGAGTTTTTTTTGTAATGAACAAAAACCCTACAATACGAAATAATTTGACAGTGAGACAGGGTTTTATATGTTTTGTTTGCAAACTGTGACCAATGACTGAATCCAAACTGGACGCAAAACTATAGGCAGCCTTCAGCTGTTGGACTTTTCATTATAGAGTATTTGGATAAAAAAAAAAAAGAAAAGAATGATGATGAAAAAATTATGCTCCGATGTTGACAGTTCATTAGACTCCACACAAAGCTGAAGATCAGCATGAATCTAACTAAATGCCTCATAAACTGACTCCCACAGCTGCTTGGTGGAAACCACAATGAGTAAAACTAGAAAGAAACCTTTTACAGAAAACAAAAAAGTCAACAGAATTGCTATAATTGTATTGCATTGTGACAAAGGACCTGGCTTATTTGTTCATTTCTTCAAGCTCTGATGGAGGCGAGTGAGCTTCTGTTAACATCCCACAGCCACTCATTAACAGAAGCGTTTTGCTCCCCGCCACCGCGAGCTGTAATTAGAATGGCAAAACTGATATCCCCTTGTATCAGTCTGATTCTGGGAACATGTGTGAGAGATTTGGGGGTGGAAGGGTGAAAGAAGCGCGCTAATACGGAACAGCTGTGTGGGGAAGAGTCAGATGTTGACGGATTGGGGGCTGAGAGCTGCTTCAAGTTCTGCGAAAACCAGAGTGGCCAATAATAAAGAGATATACGTTACATTCTTGGCCAGGGGACCAGGCTCTGTGAGAAGGGGGAGCTGAAGGATCACCCATAAAGGTCAACGAAGGATGTAGGCTGCCGATAGTTGATGGATGGATGGATAGTGCCTTGCAAAGTGTTCAATTCCCTAGAGTTTGTCAGATTACCTCTGCAAATGTCAATATGTTTTATGGAGAATTTATATGCCTGAACAAACGTGCGGCGTTTGTGGGTTTAACTCATCAAGCTTCAAATCTAACTAAACGAGTCTGGAATATTCAGTCTTTCCTCTTCATTGAATAGCTCTAACTCAGTCATCTGGGTCATAGCAAGCACAAAAAAAGGCCTTAATTGGAGGACACCGATTTTTTCTTTTTCAACACCTATGATTTTATTTGGCTCGCACTAGAGCAGTCTGTAGACAGAGTGTCAATTTCTTTCAGCAGCATGGAGGTCCATCCTCCTGAGGAAAAAACTGTCGGATTTAGATCTGCAGGTTAACTCCACAGGATGATGCTTCCCCTGCTATGCTTCAATGCACAGATGTTGATTTCAGTTGCTGGTTTTTGCCACATAAAGCAGTCAGCATAGTTTAAAAAGTCAAATTTAGTATGTATCCAACTAGAGCCTCTTATTCCATGTTTGCTAAAGATGCCGCACAAAAATCCCCCATAAACTTTGCTGACAGTTTGCTGTCCTTAGTTCCTCTGATCAGACAGAATCTCCCAGCAGTTGGGCTTTTCTAGTGCATTCAAACCCATCTACTCCAAAATGTTAATCAAACTTTATCTTGTTTATTAAAAGAACAGGATGACTCCTTTGCTGCTAGTTTAAATAAATGCATTAGTCATCAATTTTGTGACATTATGAAAACATTTTCATTAGGAGGGTAACGGATGAACCCACCCTGAGTTTTCTGCATTCACGAAGCTGCTGATAGCTGCTGGAAGCTCCGACTTCAGGATGAACAAGTAGGATGACATGGCTGAGGAGAGAAAATGAGGAAAATTAAATGAAATCACAAGAAACGATTCTCAACCAAATACAGCATGCAGCTGAACGCCACCACAAGAAGCTCTCAGCTGTTATGTGAGGGTGGTGTGTATTCAAAGGAAAGGAAGGGGGGGTACCGCAACATGGGAGGGTAATTGGGAGATCCCCAGTAAAGCCCTCAGTATGAGGAGCAGACATAATGCAGGCCTTCCAATTGCTGCACAGCAGCTAGGATGGGAAATCAGGGGTGAGGAAGGAGGAGGGCGAGCAGCAATGCTAACAGTAACGATCTCTGACACTAATCCAGGTACTTCCAACCTTTCTCCACCTCGCTAGGCAACAGGATACAGCCATTTTTCTCTGACAGCCAAATGGACAGCGGATCAGTTCAATTCCTTTAAGCCCGCTTCTAAAAGCTCCATCAGGATAGCAGGGAATGGGATAAGGCGCTCCCAAAAAGAAGTGTGCATTTGGTCTGGGCAAGCGCCTCACAAGCAGCATGTGCTCAGCCCTGAGTTTAAGGGAATTATTATTAGGAAAGCCAAGCAAAATGCAAGACTAGCTGGAATCCTACTACCCCGGGCGGGTCTGTGACTCTTCTTTAAATAATCCCAGTCATAATCCCTCAGATCCTGTATTTGTTTATAAAAGAAAATTCCTCCAATAATGCTCTCGCCCACACAGACACAAGCACATTCCCTCTCTGAATAAAAGCTGCTATTCATGAGCACTGTTTGGCAGTTAGGGACTCCATTATCAAATGTTTCAGGGCTTCTAGTGTGCATACCATGGTACCAGAATCAGAAATACTTTAATAATCCCAGAGGGAAATTACTTTTGTTACATGCTATATATATATATATATATATATATATATATATATATGCATATTACACTACTGTAGCTGGTAGCAGCGTGTCTTTGTGCACCCATCCACTTTAATATGTTGTTTCTCTTCACCCAGTTCTAAGGGGGAAGAGAACCAATATCGAGGGTTCCTAACAATTTCCCATGTCAAAACCAAATCCTTCCACATTTCAGTCTTCACAGATTTCCATGCAAAACTTTGTATAGAGCACATTCACTATAATGGTAGTAGCTTAACTCATGCAGAAATGAAGGAAGGAAAGAAAGAACGAAAGAAAGAAAGAAAGAAAGAAACAAACAAACAAAGAAACAAACAAACAAAGAAACAAACAAAGAAAAAAAACGAAGAAAGAAAGAAAGAGTTTCACATCAAAGACGTATCCATCACTGTGAACACACCACAAAAAGGTAACCCATTAAAGACACACTGACAGGAACACACAGCAGTCAGTCAGTCGGGATGCGGTGGTTTAGTTTCATGCAACTGGTTACTCTTGGAATGACAAACACTTCTATCAGAGGTGAGAAAATACTTACAACGACCATACAAAATGGCCCTTGAGTGAAGAAAGAGGACGTTATTGGCCAAGTGGTAAGAAAACAGACACTGATAATCAACATTTACGTAATGTTTAAAGAGTATAGAGGTGAGGCTTCTTTGTGTGGTCAGCAAATAGCTGCGGAGTGCTTCCAACATGAGACAGAACAACTTTCATTTCATTAAGAGCCAGGAGAGGCTGGCTGTGAGAGCCGTAGGGTGGTCAGTAATTAAGGTCAATTGGCTGCTCAGCCTTTGGCAGCCTGAATGAATGTTTACCCAGAGTGAGGCTAATTGCACTCTTATAAAAGAAGCTGTGGGTAGAGACAGATGGACTCTGGAGTGCTGGCTCTCACACTCCTGGACACATGCTGGGAAAACACCAGAACATCAGAGGTAATCGACTCAACCCAGATACTAATGACGGTGCAGCAGCTCAGCTCTCAGCTGTCTGAGAAGCATCGTTTGTGGTCGAGTTGGGTACAGGGAGGGACCCCAATATGCTACTCTCCGCACACAGGGTGGGAGTGGGTTTCGCCATCAGCGATCAATTAGGAGAGAAGTCATGTTTCAGGCCCAGGGGAGGGGGCTGAGAGGGTCAGGGGTTATCAGGGAATCTAGATAATGGCAGGGGGGTGATGAGGAAAGAGAGAACCTCAGCACAGACCACTCTGTTCACCAGCAGGAGGCGATATCTCCCTCCAAAATAAACAAACTGTCCCTGCAGCATACCTCAGCTCTGTCCCAGCTCTGCTTCTCATAAAAACCACATAATAGTTTTACGTCCAACATGTCAGAAACAATGTCTGTTCCTTCATGTTGAAAAGAAGGCCAACTTACCACCGATATTTTGGATGAGAATAGCCAATCCCACTAAAATCTGGAGAGAGAGATGGAGAGAAAAAAGGGGAGGGAAGAGTAAACATCCCAAGTCAAAATGAAAACAGAACCTTCACAGTAATCCTGAAGGCCTCACTTACTTTTCCTGGTTTTTTCAAAGCTTTTTCTCCAAGTTCTTCGTACGAATTGATACCTGCAGCAAATGACCATTTAAAAAATAAATCAAAGTCAGACAAATCAGGACTTTTTTTCCATTACAGTCTAAAACTTCATTAGAAAAAACCAAGGTCTTTAGTCCAGTTATATGTTATTTCTATTAGTTAAATGCCAGAATAACAGATTTTTTTTAGCAGTTCAAACACATTTTTTAAAACTGTACAATATGGCTTTGCTGTTTTGGGTTATCTTCCACAGGCTCTGTAGAACCTTCTGGAATATTGGACCATTCCTCCTGACAGGGCTGGAGTCACAGAGTCCGGTTTACAAGCCAGACTCGGTAATACCTGCTCTAATATCACTAAAATCAGGACTTTGAGTTGGCTGCTCCAAAACACTGACCTTGTTGTTCTTCTGTGACTTTTATAACTAATCTGATCTTAAGATATCCCTTCAGTATTTGTGTATAAAGCATCCATGCGACACGGTTCTACCATCCCATATTTCACAGTCCAGATGCTGCTCTCAGGTTTACCTGCTCCCCTTTTTCCTCCATATTTAAAAATGTTCAATACAACCAGAAAACTGTAGTGATTGGTGTTTGTCCTTTTTTGCTGAGCAAGCTCATCTAGGACTTGTCTGACTGATTATAATAACAATGACCGACCTCAATAGCATCTTAATAAGGCCTTCTTTTAATTTTGTCTTAAATTGCAGATTTTGCACTGAAACAAGTTAATGTGTGGGACAAAGAACATTTCTCCTTCCAGAAGGCTATGATGGCAGTAGAAAAATTATGTTTTATCAACTGCCTGTCAAAAATAATGTAATTGCCTTGATATAACATTGCAGATAGGTAGGATCCTCCTATTCCATTATTACTGCCTGGATATTTGTGTTTGAGTCATTTATGCAGGGCAATTTAAGGCAAAAAAAAATGTTTCTTAAAAAAAATAATACAAATGATGCTGACCATAAGAATATTATAGCAAATATTTTTTTTATGATTGAGGTCCGTGTTCAGTTAAATGTTTTTATAATAATCAAATCATAAAAAAATAAACCAAAACTGCAAACCCATTTGTATTTTTAATAAAAGTAAGTGAAGATAATCTACACACACAGAGTTAGGACGGGGACTAAACATCTAAAAATCTCTGATCAGTGAAGAAAAAAATGCTTTAATTTGTTAAGGAGCATAAAGTTTGAGCAGTGGAGCAACAATACAAGACAATTAGTCCAGATTTACACTGTTCTAAAGCAAGCATCAAGATAAGAAGAAGTGCATACAATGCTGCTTCTATCACACCCAGTGGAGACCTGTGGAGGAAGTGCTATGATCTGAGGTGGCTGCATTTGGTCAGGTCCAGGTTCAGAAACACCTATGAGGCCAAAGAATTAGACATGCTGATGGGACAGCCATTGGTTTCAGATTGACACATTCATGCATGGATCAGCCACAGGTTAAAGGTTAAAGGTCGATCCCACCCTTCCTGCAGCTCTACAACATCTTCATGTTCAAATATTAAAGCAACTATGGAGAGAACTAGGTGACATCATAGAAACGGTTTAACAACAATGATGTCGGTTTAACAACAATGATGGCGTTGGGAGCCTAACTTCCAAATAATAACAGATTTCTGATTTCTTTTGATAGAGCGAGGAGAGTGTTTAAGATGCTTCCTAAAAAATATCATATGCAGCGTTTAGCATTAAAGCCATGACATCGTGGCTTTTCAAGGTTCCCCAACTTCTTAAGTTTTTGATTGTTTCTGAGTCAAATAATTTAGTAATTGATTAATCATTAACTGGAGTGTAGAGATTCTAAAACATGCCTTTACCTGAAAGAACAGCCCATCTTGAGCAGCAATTATACTAAAATTGTGAAAAAGATATGTTAACATTTTACATTTAAAATAAAAAATATTTTTTGTCTGTCAATCTGCTCTATCCAGAACTCCTCAAGTGGAACAGTTTTATTTTCCCCTGCTTTAATTTCATAAAACGTCTTCTTTAAGGAACCTTTTGCTATTCGCTTATTAATTGATTAATCAAAAAAATTATCAACAGATTAATCGATTTGCCAAATAATAATTAGTTGTAGCCCTAATTTGAAAACTACTTTATTTAGTCTGGCATTTATAATCCTAACTGAGCTAAAACAGGAATGTAAAGTATAAATAAATGTCTTTAATCAACTTTCTGCCTGAACTAAAATTTTATGAAAAAGCATATGAAATAAAAAGAAGAAAGAGTGAAAAAGGGATGAATGTCTGCATGAAAGTTGAGCATTTAAACCGTTTTGGTGAAAACATCACAGTATTTAAATAGATTTAATGGTAATCAACAACCTGCGCATCCCTCTATTGTGTTTTCTTGTTATCATTTCTTTGGGCTCCTTTGACCCTTTATTACTCATTAGTCAAGCATCACCTGATGAAGTCACAATCAGGACTTGAGTAATAACCGAATACAAACAATAGATAGTTTTGCAACAAACTGATTAAATCTGGAGTTAAAGGAAAAGCGATTCAGAGCATGAAGTCAACATCAATAAGCGAAGAAATCCTGCAGTTTATTTATTGGCTGCAGTTGGAAAGTGTTTTTCCCTCACCTGTTTGATCACAAAGCTTCAGAAGCAGATGGATGGAGTATGCTGCAAGGCTGGATACCAGTACTAACAGGATGCTGGGAAGAAAAGGAGAGCACCAATTGATAAACCTTACACTATTCTGAAGAAAGACAGCACTGGTGGAAGGAGTGCACTCTTACCAAAACCCAACTATTCCTGTGCTGGCCATTGCATAAGCCAGACCCAGTATCCCACTGCCCATGATTGCATTCATCAGGTTGAACACAGAGGAGGCGAAGGAGGCTCCTGTAGTCCGGATCTGTACTGATCCCTGCAGATGGAAAAAGAAAAGCAATTAAAGCTACAGAGAAAGACCAAAACAAAACAAAAACTGCAGAAAAAGACCTGTTCAGAGGACTCCCCCTGACATTACAAGGAGCAACTGGCTCGGCCTGATGATGGATGTAATAAAACAACACTGCAGGGGCATGCAGGATCAGGGGATGGATATAGGAATTGATGGGGTGGGATTTGAGCTGCTGGCTGCAGGACAGCTGCCTGAGCTCAGGATAAGGGGAGCTGCCCAAACTGCTTGACCTCTCTAATGGGGGATATCCTGGATAGAACAAGTGGCAACTCTGGTGTCAGTGTCACAACAAGCTCAGATTGACCTGCAAGGCTCTCGCTCAGATTCACCCTGTTACAGGAAACGAAAGACGGGAAGTGCATGGGAGAGACCCAGACAGAGGAGAATTAAGACTATTTGCAGAGTCCTTCAGAAATAAACATGGAGACAGTTGAGTTTGAAATACACCAATTTTTTCCCCCCAGCCTGAATGCTTTTCCCACCACCCTTGCATCCCCAACCTCTTCACCTGATACAGATTAAACATGACATGACATGGACTGAAAATTACCTTTAAACTGATTAAACCCAATAAGAATTGATCAGATGTCTAAACACACTGCTCACATTTATACAGTATTACATTTTATCTGATTTTTGATATGCTTAGACCTACATAGAATAACCTGACATTCAAAACACGACTTTGATATCATGTGGGGATTTTACAGTAAGTCAGAAACATAAAAAAACAGTTCACTATCACTAGTAGTACTACTACTAATAATAATTACAATGATAATAAAGCATTATTACCATCAGAACTGCTATTACAGTAACTCTACAGTAAATTATATGCTAAACAGTAAAACTGTATAGCAATGACTAAACATGAAATGTTAATATTAAAGTTAACAATATTAAAATATAGATAATTCTAAAAAAATTTCACGTGAAAAACTAACCAGTAAAATTGTTGCTTATTATATTGGAGTAATGATATGCTCATATATACCCCAGACTGCTGTTAGTTCTCAAATGGTCATTTTCTGTAACAAACACACAACTTTGAGGTAGAAAAATATTTCTTAGCATTTATTTTAGCATTGCACATTCTCATTAATTATTTTAACATAAAAAAAAAGAATAGAATCCTTTTAATAAAAACATGATGTGATGGTTGTTTTTAAATCAATTATTAATTAGGAATTAAAACTAAGGTGGTTAGTAGTTTAAAAGAGCTCCCTTTTTGTCTGGCTGATACATGTGAAAGTTAGTTTAAAATACAGCTGTGGGTTGTGGAAAATCTACTCATTGTTTTAGTTATAAAAATCAAGGGGATGTTTTGCACTTATTTTTTTTTTTTAATGATTGGTTCAGATTCATTTTTATATAAATTAATATTTGCGAATCCATTTCCAAAATGATTCCGAGAAACATTTATTGAACATATAACATCTTTTTTTTTTTAAACCCATTGACAACTAAAGGGACATCCAGCCGGCAGAGGATCTGGTTTTCCTACGTGTCATTACTCTTGTAATGAACAAAAAAGGGAATTTAACAACCACTGAAAATTTCAGCTTTAAGAAAAGAGCTGCTACTGTAAGATAAAAATCCCACATGTTCATTGTTTTATACTGATACCTATGTTTAATGCTTAAAAGAAAGACAGAATTTCTCATACAAATTGATATCAGCAGACTTCAGTTTTTACATGCTTCACAGAGAGTAAGTGTATGGAGAATTTAAAGTATAAAAGCAGCAAAAGCACTAATTTACACACATTTTGGAGGAAGAGACCCCGATGGAACAATGCAAAACAATTGAAGTAAATTAAACAAAATGTTCTTTTTGTAAATGGAGAAATAAACATAAGTGAGCCTTTTTGCACACTTGCTTGCTTGCTGTGTGGGTGGATTGCTGTGCTGACAGAAGCAGAAATCCCAAAGGAAACTGAAAAAGTGAAGTCCAGCTCATGTGATGCTGACCATTAAAAAAAGCCCGAACAAAGCAGCGACTCGATGTTAAACTCCTTATTTCTATAGATTAATGTCGATGACAGAAGAAGACGTAGTGATTAAATACTCACATTTCCCAACAGAGGAGTCCTCTCACTGACAGACGAGCCTCTCCCAGAGAGTTTAGTGTAAACATCAGCCTGCTCGCTGCTGTTGATGCTCATTCTGAACTGATAAAAGCATACAAACAGCTTCGCTCTCAGACTTTATGCTCCCATCTTCTCCTGGACCCTCTTTATTCCCGCCGCTTATCGGGCAGTCAGCTGATTGCCTCTGTTATTGATAAAAGGCTCCCCTAACTTCCTGCTTCGTCGCATTTTTCCTACGACACCGCCTCTGACCAATCACAAAGCGAGTTTTAAATTCTCGACCAATCAGCAGTCGTCCCTCGTCCGCTGTGGATGATGCAGTTCAAGCATGCCTTCGCACGGAGGATGTTAAGGTTAGATATCTTCTTTTACATGATTTATAAATTTCATGGATAAATATTTACAATTACAATGGTTTTATTATGAGAGCGGCCACTATAGTGGGTTATTTTGGGGCTGTGATCTGTCAAAACTAGCGTTACACAGCGGTTTAAACAGGATTTACTCCTATTTTAAATTTTAAATTTAGAGATATTTTCTGTCGTTTTTGTCCTACAAGGGGGCATTCCAGTGTGTCAGGGGGAAACATCTATGTTATTCCATCACAGAAATGCATAATCTTTATCATTTTTACAGGGGATAACATTAATGGGCTTTTAAAAAAGCTATTATACACTTTAAATACTAAATAACACATGAAAATGAGGACCCAATCAACTTATCTCGTTTGGTATTCATTTATTCAAGTGGTTGGGATAGATGATTAATTACGATTACAGCTATTTAAGATTATCTGTTATAGGATCCAGAGTTTGTGTGTTAGCCATTTAGATTAAATTTTTATTTGGAAGAATGAATGAATGCAGTCATTCCACAAGATAACAAAACAAAAAATGGACCTATTCCTCAGTATTAATGCAAAAATCACTTACAGTGTATTTATAAATTGACATAAGTAGAAACCAAATTTAAACCTATAAATATTTCTGATGAGTCAACAATAATAAAGCAGAATTTAGACTTTCCTATAAATGAAATGTTGAAACAAATAACAAAGCTGATAAATAATACCTTCTTGAACTCATTAAATGGGTGTGGATGAGACTTGGGCCGATTGCGATGCTTTTGTTCCAGAATTTGAAACTTTATTTGTAATAAAATAAAATTCCAAACTATTATAACACATACTGGGGCTGCAGCTTGTGATTATTTTAATAGTTGAGTATTCCATGAACCATCCTGATAATTAATTGAGACATTTGATAAAAAAAAAAAAAATACTTTAACTAACGCAGGTTATTATATAAGTAATATTTTTACATGAAGAAAACTGAAAATTACCAAACATAATTTATTTCCTTACCAAAAAATTTTGATTTTTAAAACTTGGTAACATAGCATGTCTTAAGATTACAGTTTAACATTTGCAAAAAGAGAATTGTTTTAAATTAACTCTGTATGTTGTTGCAATTATCCTCAAATTGCTTGTGTAACTGCATCTTAAGTGCAAAATGCATATCGTTAATCTCATCTAAAGACTTTTAGATTATCGTCCGTCCATCCATCCATCCATCCATCCATCCATCCATCCATCCATCCATCCATCCATCCATCCATCCATCCATCCATCCATCCATCCATCCATCCATCCATCCATCCATCCATCCATCCATCACTGATTTACAATAAAACATTTATAAAGAGCTTAAGATAATTTCTGAGTCTCCAGCTTCGTTTCCTGCGATCTGATCTCACACATATTGTATTTAAGCTCATTAACAAGCAGGGGGCACTTTAATTTCACCATACACATCAGAATAATGACTGGTCATTAAGTTGTGTGAAAGAGTGTTTTTTTATAAAAGCAGCAGAAAGAAAAACGACTCAGAGTGACATCTGATACTGCGGTTCTATAGTTATACCTGAGAACATGCTGTTAAACACAGAGCTCAGCGTGTGAAAGCACAGATATTCACTTCAAGGCCGAAACAGAAGTCCACGCCCTTGCTTTCTTCTTGTTATTGATGTTTTGTGCCCCAGTGCTTTACAGGCTCTCTCTTGCTTCCTGTTGCAGCATTACTACTCTCAGCAAACTTTCAAGCAAAGAGAGTAACATACATTCTGTTATTTACCAAATATAGCTCCAGATTCCTGTTTCATTTTGGCTCTGAAAACACAGAGCCTGTCCCCCTAATGTGCAGTTAAGACCAGATATTTAAATACATTTAATGGAAAAATTCATAATCTTTTAATCTGACTGTTTTACATTAAACATACAAACATTTTCCTGTTTTTATGTCATTAATTATTATTATTATTAGCACTAAAATGATTTTTATTTTTAAAATGCCAGAAAATGTAAGAATATTTAAACTTATTTCTTAATTTTCGGTAGAATTATGTTTTAAAATTGACAAATTGTTTTCCTCTTGCATGCTTTATAATAGTCGCTGGAGGTTTAGCCCATCAGTTTGGTGAAACTGGGTCAGCTTGGTGAATTACACATTTTTCAGCTCTGCTCACAGATTTATTTATGAGAATGTGATAAGAATTGTGTTGTGCTCTCCTTCAAAAAAATATTGACTTTCTTACCGTAATTCACTTTCTAATTGATTTAATGCTACGGTTCAGGTTTCTTATAATAAAAAAAAAACATTTACACTAAAAGCTTCAACTTCTTGGTTAATTAAGTCAGCATTGTATAGAAGAACGTTTATGCAAATCTCCCTTCTTAAGATTCTGCTTAAGATTTATTCCCGGAAATGCGGCAGTTCATTCTAACTTTTCATTGAAACTCCAACCTTTTACAGTTGGGATGTACCTCACAAGCTTGAAGGATTCCACCCCTTCCTCCAAACTTACATTTCTAAAACAATTACATTTTTTGTACTAGAGTGCATTTGGAGACTGTAATCTGATTTTTATGTTGTTTTACTATAAAAACTTCTTCATCTGTGTGGCCTTTCATCCCAGTTTGATAGAGTAAACTCCATTTCATCTCCTTAGACGTCAATAAAACTACACTGCAAAAACGATCTAGAAATAAGTAAAAATTTCTTAAATTAAGTGAATTCACCCTTAATTTGAGCAGGTAAATGAGATAGATTGCCAACGGAATGAGTAATTTTATTCTTAAAATAAGATAATTAGATAATATGCACTTGAAATAAGACAATGCAATTGTGTTTTCTTATTTTAAGTGTAAATTGATCTGTTCCATTGGCAAAATGTCTCTTATATCTCCTCATTTCAAGGACAAATGCACTTATTTTAAGAAAAAATGGCTTATCTAGATTCATATTTTTTGCAGTGTATTTCTAAGCTTCTGAATCTTCATGCTGTTGTGATATACAGTAAACACTCACAATGATTTTGTAGCTCATATAAAATAAATGTTGGGTTTAGCACTTGAACATCAGCAAGCTAATTGCTGTTAAATAGTTTTTGTACAGCTGCAAATGGGATCAGAGTTTTCTCCTTTTTTGCCATTACAGGATCCTCTCCAGAACTTTGGTCCCTATTCAAACTCAAAGAAAGCACGATTCTGCTGCCTTGCTCAGTGGTCGCCTTTTTTCACACTCAGTCAGTTCCGGGTTCTTTGGGAGGACCGTGATGGAGCTCAAACTCTACCGACCTCCTCCAGGGGTCCGGGGTATGACCTCTCTGGACAAAGACGCCTTCACACAGACCATTACAGTTCCAGCTCTGCAGGTACCAACTGGGGTTTTGAACAAAGTGATAAAGAGTCTGAAGAAGTCCACCATCCAGCGCCCAGGTGTGCACCGAGTGGTTCAAGACAAAGAGGAGAACAGCGGCTTTCGGTTAGTCCTTTTGGATCCCAACAAAGTTTCGTCAGCGAGTTCCTTCAGCGAGACTGAAGCAGAGGCCCTCAGGTCGTTTGGTGTCCCTGAAGAGCTGCAACAATATGAGCTGAAGCTGACCTATGACAACCTGAAGACGGAGGAGGTGCTGGAGGCAGTGCTTCCTCAGGGTCAAGATGTGACCTCAGCATTCAGCCGGGTTGGACACATAGCCCACATGAACCTGAGGGATCATCAGCTGCCATACAAGAACCTCATAGGTAAGAGGCAGAAAGAAGATGGCGCCTGAACACTAGAGGCTGATCTACATGTGAAGTTAAAACTACGCATGCCACAAACGGCAGACTGCCAAACTGCAAGCATTAGATTTTATTGTGACTTTTTAAATGTTTAACTGCACAACAATAAGCTAAACAAGAAATCTTTAATGAAAGAAGCCAATTGATTTAATTGATCGCTCAATTTTCATTATCAGTTCTCAGAAAGAATAACTGGATAGGAGTAGCTGTTTCTTATAAAATGCTTGTGGCGACCTTTGAGCTGCCTCTGCTGGTTGCTTATGGTCGCACAATTCTTGAATTACCAATGCATACTGCAATCAATCCTACTGAACAATACTGTTATCTAATATTATTACTATTAATTCATACTAATATTAATCCAAATGGGAAATTTGATCTTGTAGTAACTCATCAGCTTTTTTTTCCCAGCAAGTTGTTGTAGATGTTGATAGCTGTAGACGGGAAGGACCTTCTGTAGTGGTCTGTCCTGCAGTAGATCTGCAGGTTCCTCATCAGTCATTTGACCGACGACACTTCATTGCTGTTAAACAATCTTCTGAAGACAATGCTTACAGTTGTTCATGATTTTCATAATTTTATAAAGATTTCTTCTTTGTAAAATTAGTCTTCATTAGTTGTAGACTTTCTGGAACAGAACAGGGCCAGCCTTCTGTCAAGGCTTCTTAAATTTGTAATTTTCTCTAATACTGTTACACCAGCAAAGAAGATATGCAGACTCTCACTGCAAACGTTGAAGGACCTAAGCTTCTTTTGCTTCCTTTGTCTGCTTCAAAGTGAAAAACTTAATTACTTTTTCCTATCTTGTTGTCATTAAAGTCAACAAGATAGGAAAAAGTACCTGGGTTTGTTGCTTAAAAAAAAAAAAAAAAAAAAAAAAAGGTGCTAGAGAAATTTTGAAAGCTGTTTAAATATAAGCGATGAGTTGGCAATGATGCAGAACCGGCTTTTTTCATTTTTATACTGCTGGGCCTGTGCTGAAAGCAGCTAGATGATGACATAAAGCTTAAATTTTAGGTCAAACGTTATCTAAAACAAATGAAGCTAAAAAATTTACTCAAACTAAATCCGATTTTCCAGGAATCTCTGACTTCA